TATGGAGTCATCAGAAAGCTCAGAAAGTATAGATGAAAAAAAAAACTACCCTTGTAACCCTGGACACAAGCATTTCAGCTAGCAGGCTATAAACAGCCAAATGCTACAATAAATCAGTGTTTAGTCCAGCATTCCACTGATGCAAGCAGCAATGCACTCTTGGTTAAACATGGGTTGAAAATACTGTCTTTCTCCCACTCTTTGTCTTTCACGCACAGTCGAACACACAAACAAAAACACAAGCAGCCAGCCTTCGACACCCGACTGGTCCACAATGTTCCTCAGAGTTATTTCTGTCTTCAGGACAAAGAGTTTTACCTCTTACTGAAGGATGACAGAGTGTGTGTTGGAGTTTGTTTGAGTGTGTGTGTGTGTGTGTGTGTGTGTGTGTGTGTGTGTGTGTATGTATGAGTGTTTTGGCAGGATAATTAGACCTTGTGCTTTGCTCCCTGAGAGTTTTTTAACCACAGGGCTGAGCCATAATGAATCTACACTGTCACGGACACTAGACTGAGACACACACACGCACACACACACACCAGACACCATACTGAGCACGTTTACAGATGTTTGAAAACAAACACGCACACATTGTGTAAATGTTTAACTGAGAGAGTGGGGGGCAGGGAGTGAGAGAGGTTGGATTAAATGAGGACAAGGGAGAGCGAGCCAGTGAGAGCGAGGAAGACTACTGACAAACAAATAATTACTCGTCATTAAGTTGGTGATTACACAACACTGTATGTCTTCCACAAATAATCAATCACTTCTATATGGTTTGTGTGTAAAAGTATTTGAAATAAGCGTTTTGCTAATTTCTCAGGCAATAAAATGAACTGAGCCAAGAGGAAACGTCTATGTGTTTGTGTGTGTGTGTGTGTGTGTGTGTGTGTGTGTGTGTGTGTGTGTGTGTGTGTGCGTGCGTGTGTTTTTAGATGACGTGAGTCATTTTAAAGTCTCTACAGGCAGGAGTAATACAGCTCTGCCTCTTGGCCAACACCTTCAGGCAATGAACTTGTCAGAGTGTGCGAAGATATTCTGCTGATAAAGTCACAGATCATCTAAAACAGTACTTATGTTACAATATCATTAGGTTCAAGTTTTTTTTTTTGTCTATTTTATCATTTATTTTGCAATAATATTATGTGTGTACAGAGGCTACGTTCTTTCTGCAGCAGCTGGGTTTGATTTCAACCTGCAGCCCTTTGCTGCATGTCATCCCATATCTCTTACCTCACTGTATCTGTTTGGCTGCTTCTATCTAATAAAGGCAATAAAAGTCCAAAAAATGATCTTGAATAAAAAATTGCCTCCCTGCTCAGCTGGGCTTATCTGATGATGGATGTCCATGACATTGTTGAGAACTTGCCTCCCTTTCTTTTTCTGCAGAAGCTTCGTCAAGTTTCTCCCCTCTAGGACAGTGGTTCCCGAACTGTTGGTTGGAACACCCGCAAGTAGTTATAAGATAAATCTAAATACAATGGGAGTGTCATTAATTTCGAAGATATTTGGTCAGAAACCCCCAAAGTATTTGATAATTATGGTTTTGAACAGATGGTGGCACTGGATTGGAAGTTAAAGGATGACCAAAGTTATAACAATTCATCTTGAGAGGAGCATGAATGTCTGAAGAAAATTTCATGGCAATCCAACCAGTAGCCATTGAGACATTTCCCTCAAAACCTTAAGTGTTAACGCATAGTGGCACTAAAGGAGAAGTCAGGGGATCACCAAAATTCGTCATCCTCTAGAGACCATGACTGTCTTTTTGATGGCAATCCATGTCATTCAAAAATGTATTTGACATAAAACATATGTGACAGAAAAATTACCCATTGATTGAGCTGGTTACAACTGGTAATGCAAAGCAGGGGGTCACAAGGAGGATGGGAATCACTGCTCTAGGTTTCATTCAGAGGTCTTCAGGGGGCAGCCAGGTGCCTGAATCAACTCAAATTCACCCCTGTCCGAGCTGGATTTGAGCCAGATATATAATGATTTACCCATCCTGCTGGGCCTGACGGTGTGAAGTTCGTTGCATTGTTGAGAACTTCTGGAAATTTCCTTTAGCTCCAAAAACTTCCTCAAGTCCTTAGATCCTCAGATTCTCAGAGTAGGGAGATGTTATCCCTCCAGTCTGTCTGGGTTTGAGCCAGGCTTCTGGTAGGGTCATTCTTCAAGGCAAACTTTTCTCAGATGAGAGGCCAGGCATAATGACTCACAAAGACAATGATTGAGAATGAGTGTCGCCTGGAATAGAGACAGTATGACTCGCACCTGGAGCCAGGCCTGGGAGTGGTGGTCTTGGCTCAATGCTCAGTGGCGGGGTGACCCTTGTAGTTGGGCCATGCTTGCTTTGAGAAGAGACATAGGACCATTAAATTGGGGGTTCACCACTTCAAGCAGGCGTCAAATCAAACCCCTGTCCTTATTTATTTAGCCATATGTTCATTTTGTGCAGTCATGTTTATATTGGGATTAAGACTGCTCAGATATTAGGTTATCAATCATCTGCACATTCGTCACGGGAAAAACTGCAGTGAACAATATGTCCTGGATTTTGGCCATTTCTTTCTTCTTATACTGATTGTCTGATCTGAAATCTGAAAAAACGGAAAAACATCTTATGCTACCGTGGTTATGAAATCATGCGCAACCATGCATGTGCACTCGTCCACAGCAATGCCAACACCTGGCAAGAGAACAGGGAACAAGCCTCCACGTTCCTCTTTTCTCTGCCTTCTCAATGTTCTACAGCATGAACAAACACACATTCACACACTTTCTGAATAACTCTGTACCCAAGTTCACAGAGGGTTTGCCACTAAGACACATACAAACACACTTCTCTTCTTCTCTTTCTGGTAGTGTGACTAGGTATTGAGTCACAGCCCTGACTTATCACGTTATTACATTTTTCTCCAACCTCTCTCTGCTTCCCTCACAGCTGGGAGGGCCAAACCAGCCCTGCCTTGCATGATTCTTGGCACATACCTTATCCCAGCTCATGGGATTTTTCACTACTTCTATACCTAACTCTGTGAAATATTCAAGGAGCATGTTGACAGTAAATTTGATCATTCCTTATGGGGTTTAATGGCGTTTTGGTCATTAATGCATGTGTATTTGGGGGGGAAATGCTAAAGCAAGAGGGCAGAAAGGGAAAACTGTCTTCCTGTTTGATGCTCATTAGCTCCCAGTGGGTTAAACACACGTTTACGACTAATCTGACTGCTCGGCTGGAGAGCTGTAGCTTTATCGCTGTTAAGCTTTTGACGCTGAGGGAGCATTTTAAGCTCTTCGCTGGGATCCAACAGTCCTGTCATGCCTGTTCTTGACATTTACTTTTTAATCTGTTTCTCTGATGAGATTAAAGTGAATTTCTAACCAGCTCTCATTTTTTTCCCTCTTCCTCTCTGGCTTCCCGAAGCTGCAGTGAACTCTTTGATAGTGGAGTAAATAAAACTGTTATGATGCAACATGCAGAAATGTTGCCAAGGAATCAGAAGCCAAGCGAAAATGGACTCTTACTGCAACTTTACAACACACCATTCAGAAGATTTATATTCCCTGCAACAATATGATTATCAGTTCAGTAAAGCAATAGACTACTGCAACTGTCATTTCATACTATAATCAGAGCTGATTAACCGAGCTTGGTTACTCACCCATCTTTCAAAATACTCTTGTCACATATCCTCTTAAATCAAACGCAGTTTATTAAAATCATGCCATGTTTACGTCTATATTTGCTTACTTGCAGTCTTCTTCCCTACATTTGCTGGCACATTATCACACTACTATCACTTCTTTGCAGGTTATGTCCACCAACTGTCGATAAGCAGAAAATGCAGCAGTAATGTGTATCATATATCATATACAAACTCTCGTATAAACATTTCTCTATAGCACTACTAGTGGTCAAAAACTTCACAGGGAACCTTTAAGTATGAGTCTTTACAGTGTCTCTATCTTTTAACTGACTCTGGAAATAATTTGCTGATTTTCAACTATAACACCACATAACAATAATACTATTGGTATACAATTACCTCTAATATTCACAAGCTAAATAACTTCCTGTTCTCATCTGTCTAGGAAGAGTCAGCATTCACAAACATCTCTATGCACATCATTACTTCAGTCAGCCTGCCAAGAAATAATCAGCTAAACTGTTGTTACTGAGGCAGAGCAAATAAGCTCCCCTTTTATAATGTGAGCACTGAGCAGTCAATGAGCCTCTTTGGGTCTCACCACATTTAAACACCCTTAGTTGTACCACTAAGTTTTGTTTTTGTTTCTCTCCCACTGCTGGAAACTGGCTGAGAGCGGTGCAGAGGAGAATGGAGCTTCTTTCCTCCCTCTGAGCTCAACAAGTCCATCTCCTGCTTCTCCACTGTTGATGTTTTTTTGTATCATATGGCTGTTTTCTTGTTTTTTGTTTGGGGGGTTTTTAACTGCAGTGGTTACTGCGGCATTTGGATTTTCTGCAGCTTCAGGCTGTCTGCTTAGTTATTTTCTGATCAAAAGTCATTTAGCTTTTCTCACCCCGAGCGCAGTGGAAATAACCAGCTGGTCACAGGCTCCCTCAGATCCCCCACGGCGGCACTTTAGGGGCATTTTTGTCCTGAGCCCCCCTCTCCCTTTTATTTCTTACCCTGAGCTTATTGCTCATGTTCAACAGCATCCTGGTTCACATTCACACAGTTAAGCAGACATTGTTTTGACTTGATCTGGGGGTTAGTTTTCTGTATTGCAGTTGTTTGTGGCCAACAATGATATTAGTGAAACACGCTGGATGGGGACATAAAACACATAACACAATTATGCAATCTAAATGGGACAACAAACCCTAAACAAACCTTAAAAAACCTTAACTAACTACTCAGCCAATCAGCTGCTCTGTTGATCGTACAGCCCTTTGCTCAAGAGGTTTACAAATGTGGTTGATGATAAAAACAACAAAAAAAACTGTAAAAACAGTGTCTGTGATCACTGACCCTTAAGAGCAGACTGTTGTAGTCATCTCCAATCCGCCGGAGCTCTTGTCCGATTGCCTCCGCCTGCATGTCCCCTGCTGCGTTTCGTGGCCTCGTGCTAGAGGGACTGGGAAAGTGTCCTGAAACAGAGAAGAAAAAACATGTCAAATTTGCTAATACGGTAGGGTTTCGCAAGGATTAAGAGGTTTAAAGCATCTCCACTGAGAATAAATGCATGTTGAACTAATCGTATTTTGACGATGCTTCATTTATGTGAAGCACAAAATGTCGAACAGGACTTTTTGTGCTTTACGCTTTATGTGTGGTTGGGGGTTTAGGCATGAAAACATTGTGGAACTTCAGCACCGAGATATTTGAAATATGATGAGAAAAATGAACAGAAACCAGAGAAGGACTGGATTCTGTATGTATTTACAGAACAATATACAGTGTTCCAAGTTGGTGGCCCATTCATTGGAACATATCCCCACTCAGTACACACATAAAAAGAGTTTGAGATTAAGTCCTCTTGGACCATACGGGATCACCATACAGCCTAATTAAGTTCCTGTGAGCTTAACTGATGCATCGTTTGATTTGTCGAACAATGATGACAGAAAAGCAGACAACAGTTACATGCAAACCTACACATTGGATTTCTTTTTTCACACGTGATGTGCATGTCCAGTTTTTCCACCTAACACATGAATACAGCACAGTGTATACAGTTACAAAAGTGAATTGTCTGGATCACCAGAAAACTCCTATCAGTAACAAACAGACAAAACAAAAAACAACCAGACAAGCAAAAGTGTGATTCAGAGAGTGGGTGGTTCACAGCATCAGAGACTTTTTTGACCCAGTTGAGTTTATTTGATGTTATAAAAGATACATGCTCACAATGGTATGCTAAAAACCACACAAGAGATGGAAAGCAGAGTATTCATGCAGGTGAGATTACAAAAACAACAAAAGACACTCAAAGGCATCCGCATAGTTTTATGGTATTCAATTTGTAGTTTGGATAGATGAGAGAATGCACAGATTGAATTTCCATGTGAAACAGCCGCAGTAATGTGTCTGTCTCACTGGCATCACATTGAAGACATAGAGTAATGCCCCTCAACCAGCTGACCGGGTGAGCGGTCGCGTGTGTATGCATATGTGTGTTTTCGTGGTTAATCTGATATATTTTCGGTCTGTAGTACAGTATGACTATGAAAGGCTCTGACCTCTTACCGATCTTCACTTATGACTCATGAACACTGATATGAAACCCAGACTTAATATTTCTCACATCCTCCAATATTGAAGAGACCAACATCGCAGACTACACCAAAAACCTCCACAAGAGGGTTTATGATGGGAAATATTGGAACGACAGCAGCATAACCTGCGACTATACAAAGCACTATATGCTATGTTAAAGCTTTGTAAGAGGGTTTTTTGTACTGCTTTTCCCAGAAAATAAAAGGCAACTGTCCAATTACTGCCCAGGTTCAGATATTGGTATTTAAAGATGGTTGGTGCTGATTATGCTGTAAGGTCACAGCGATGCCATTTGAACACCGGAGACACCAAATAATGGATCTAAGGTGGTTGGAAACATCTCATAGCTATGGATGCAGTGCCTCATTTCCCCAAAAATGAGCTCTGAACTGATGGTCAGCATCCACCCAACTGGTATGAACACCAGAAGAGTTTAAATGAGTCAGTCATGCTCGTTGTGGTCACCTGTTGTGTAATTTTTGGGGTTAGTTTTCAATATAGCCCAGCTGTTTCTGTTTCTGACACTGTTTCTTATGGCTGACATTAACACTGATACTATCTGCCACAAGCTAATTTCATATTGGCCTGGCTGATTTATTGGTCTAGCTCTAGTTTTTAAGGTAATTTAGCTCTTTAACACCAGCCCTCCTTGGCGGGGAGGCCTGCTTTAATCGAATCAAATTGGTTTAGGGAATCTTGTTTAGTAAACGTTACGACTTATTACATTGTTGGACCGCCAGACTGCTTTGAAGGAAGGTAGACAACATATTTTTTTCATTTTCATTGTTTCAGTTTAGGGCATCCATTGTGCCAGGATATTATAACAGGAAATTTTGTAAAAAGAATCACTGATTAATTTGCAGCCTTTAATTGTGCACAATTAAAAGCTTTGTTATTTTCTTTTTTGTTGTCTTTAATCGATAGTGACAGCTGAAGAATGACAGGAAAGGGGGGAGAGAGAGGAGATGCCACGCAGCAAAGGGCCACAGGTTGAAACCGAAAGCCTTCGTTTGCATGACCCAACCCCTGGCACGTGAGGTGCCTCCACCAGGTGAGCCAACCGGGCGCCCAACATGGCTCACAATTTGTGGTTTGCAAATGCAGAGAAAACAATGGCATCTTGGATCACTGACTTTTCCTCGTAACAGTTGACTTGTTCCAGAGGACACAAATCTTCAGATGAAAAAAGTCTTGATTTACCCAGAGTACTTAAGGATTTACTCCTACTGAAGACAGTCAATTATGAGTTTATTTGTTGGATTGAAGCCTCGGGCAATATCTATCTTTGTGCAACCAGCCCGAGGTTGTGTTATAACTTGAATACAAATGAAGAAAAGACTAAAATTGAAGCAAAGGTGACTCTTCCACTTTGGCTAAGACTGAGGAAACATGACTGTAGGTATCTTCCTGCTGCAAGAGGAGGAAGTGTTGATAGGATAGCTGTAATCACGCTGTCAGGGAGCGACAACAACAAGATGATAAACTGATCCTCCTTAAGCTCCACTGCTCTATCTCATTCTCTAACACTTCATCAGGCCGGCCTTCCTGATAACTGAGGCCTTTCTTGTGTTGAGGACAACGTATAAGATTTCGTATGAGTGTGTGTGTGTTTGTGTGTGTGTGTGTGTGTTTATCTCCTACCTGTCCTATCTGATGGACATAGCGAACTGAATGAGAGGCGTAAGGTTTCTGTCTGCACATTACAAAAGACCTGCAGGCCTATTTTGACTGCTGCACACACGCACACACACACACACACACACACACACACACACACACACACACACACACACATACACACACGCAGTGGACTATTTTGATTGAAGTACTTAATGAATGACACACACACATGCGCTGATCTGTTTTGACTGGTATCTTGTCTGTCTGGCTGCAGTGAAAAAGAATAAAAGAGGCACAAGGCAATCAGTGAAGGTAATCACTGCTATTATAAAGTCATACATAAAGAGGTTACATGTGTGCTAAAGCCCTACGGAAGTTTTATTTCGGCCAAACAACAACAACAAAACACCACTATCCTTGTAAGAAGAATTCAGGTCCGTATAGATATGGATGTGGTTCAAGCTGGGGTTTTAACAGAGGGGGGTTTGGGATTTAAATTGTGTAATTTTCACACTATTTTAACATGCAGTTCTGTGTGATACTTCATCATGACTGCTCAATCTGGATCAGGATGAGAGAACACTGTCATTACATAGTAGATATACTGGCATCCAATGCACCAACCCTGTAAGGATATTTGCTCTGTCAATGGTTTGTTTTGTTCTTTTCGTGCCAAATTTCAGCCTCATGCCGCAGTGTTGTTTGTTACCAAGCAACGGGACAGGCAACTTTGGCCGGCAGCATCATAGCCGAAAGCATGCGTGCCTTGTTCTGTTTTTGTATCTAAATAAACAGCAGAAATAAAAACAGGATCAAGGCTGTGAGAAGTAATTAATGTCCAACACACACTTGTTTGCTCCATCGATACAAGCATAAACTTAAGTTTACACTTAAGTTGACAAATAAACACAGAATGTGAGACTAAATTATAAGGAATTATATAAAATGATGACAAATGGAGTTTCAGTTTGAGATTATGTTGACAATGTTAGACTGGAGCATGAAAATTCATCCTTGACCTTTGGGACCAGTGTATGTCATGAAATAATCGAAGCTCAAAATGGCGGTATGTGGACAAATGGACTTATTGCTTACACTTTAAAGGAGCTGTATGTATGTATATGTTTTAAACTTTCAAACTTATTATATTATCAACAAAATGTGAAGAATGAACTGTTCTGACATTATGTCAAAGACATATGTATTGTCTGGCAGAGATATCTACTGACGTTAGCATGCTAACCAGCTAGGCCCAGCCCATACTGTCTCGTAATTCTACTTTAAATTCCGTTTAAAGGTCTTGGGGAGCACTGTGAAAAAAGTTGTATGAATTATTGTTAAGCCTGCCCCCCCACATTAGTGATTCTGCTGCAGCGGTTTTCTATACTTGTTTTTAAAAACTATCCATCATGAGTGCAACAATGTTGTAGAGGTGCAATGCTAAAGTGCAGTACTCTTTAATGTGCTTCAGCATCAACTGTAAATCGTATATGTCATATTTAAAGCTTTAAAAGCTTCACTGATTGGTTACTGCATCATTCCTTCTACTGTAATGGTACACACACACACACACACACACACACACACACACACACACACACACACACACCCTTGGGCGTGGTTAGTTAAGCCAGAAGTCAAGACCCTTCTTCCTTCCTGTAAATCTGACTCAGCAGGATTCAATGAAAACAGTGAATCCAAGGCAGCAATCCAACATCAGCAAGGGTAACAAAGCCAGCTGAGATGTCCCCGTCAAACTCATTCACAAAGTCAGTGATGCCAAACAGGAGGGGAAAAACAAGAATTACAATTGTCTCATATCACAAAGTGCCATTATGTGTTTGTTTGAGTCCAAGAGATCAAATGTTTTCACACTAGGAAGTATAGTTGAAGATAAGGATTTGGATGTTGGATGTCCACCGCACTATTTTTATTCCTATCAAAATACATTAGAAATTACTTTTAACATGATCCTGTGGGGGTTGGGAGGATTTTACACACTGAAATTAGACATCACATATCACAGATATTACTCAACAGAAAGAAGAGTAATACTACAATGGAATGTAAAAATGGGGAATCAGCAGGAATGGTTTTGTGAGCACTGAGGACTCAAGTTAGTGGGTTTTGGATCTGCATGTTTCAGCCTGACCTTGTCGGATCTCCCTCTGAGGGCCAATGTAGCAAGCCATGCTGCGTATTAGTCAATAAATCAGTATGCAAAACAAAAATGAGACTGATTTATTCATCTGAGAGCAGCAAAATACTACAGTGTGGTGGAAAAAACTTTTCCCTTGTGAGTGAGATTTAGTGAAAGGGGAGTACAAAAACATCCTGAGTATGTTTTTGTTCAACTTTTTTCATTGTTAACATTCAACAACAGCCCCCGCCCAAACCCCCAATTTTTTGATAAAGGAAGCTTCAGGGAGCATGTGCTGGGCTCATATCTGGTTTCATATTTTGCTGTACACCCACACAGAAGCAGCAGCAGCTAGATTTCACAGTGAAAACATCCACAGCAGCTTGTATTGGCTGATGATTTAGGCCAGACACTTTCACACATAACAACTACTGTATTTTTAATATAGTATCAGGGCGTGCATTTAGGTATTTGGCACTCAGACACCTACACTAAACTTATTAAAACTGATTCTGGGTGACAAAAATTAGTAGTGGGGAAATTATTTCATGCATGATTAAAAGCATTATTAGTTTTTTGACACATAATTGATTTTGCAGGTCACTGACTGGATGTCTAACTTTATCACCTAAGGCAGCAGCAGCAGGACAAAGAAATGTGCTTTCTTGTGAGTAAAGTGTTAGTATGCTGATATATTTAACACTCAACACTTGCCAGAGGGCTTTGTAATGAGAAACGTCAACCTATCCCACCGTGTATTCCGTACTGGCGGTTAATCATCGGCTATGTGTGCGTGCCTCACCGTGCTGCTGGTGCCTCCCCGGTCCTCCGCCGTGCGCCTCAGCCATGCGCTGTAGGGCGTGTAGCATCACCTGGCTGTTGGGGCTCGGAGTCTGGGTAGCTCTGTCAGCCGTCACTGGCCTCGGGGAGAGCGGGGAGCTCGGCAGCGAGTCGCCGTCGTAGGAGAAATATCCACTGGAGGCGCGGCGAGGGAGGTGGAATATTGTCCTCTTCTGAAACACGCCTAGACTGTCGATAGGAGGTTTTGTGCACCAGGACGGAGAGTCCGGCTCTCCTCCTCCGGAGGAACTGCGGCGGCCGACGCTCCGCTCGCCGGCGTTGTCTGAGCGGTTCGTTTGCGCACAGGCACCGGCGGCACCGGCGGGTGGTGGGTCTCCTCCGCTTCCCTGTGTTGCCGTTACTGCGGTCGAGCCATCGGACGGGTTTGGTGGTCTGTTGGATGAACAGAGCGGCACCGTCAGCCTGGGCTTTCATCACTCTGGACAAACAGCCTACAGCCTCACGTCTCATGTGGAGCTTAAGCTGGATATGTAGCAGCGCACTGCTGCGTCAGGACTGGACCTCGCAGATTGAAGGTTTTCCTTTAAAACTGCGGGATTTCTGTCATTTAACTCAAATTCATTTCACAGGGAACCGCGGAAACAGGCGCGCCGACGAGCACCGACTTCTTTTTTAATAAAAGCGGGCGTGTCGACAGTAAACTGCCTAATAGGTTCGTCTCATGACATGTTATATATTAGCTCACGTCCCACAGAAGCGTTGGTGTAGTGTTAGACTAGCTTATGTGTTCCTGTTCAGACGGCAGCCCAGGCTTTCCTGCCCAAACTGGTCGCCCGGTGCGTCTCCATTGTTAGAAGTTGCTGATTGCAGCAGAACTTTGTTTGACTTGTGGGAAAAAAATAATAATCAGGCATGAAGGAAACGGCTGGATTAACTTCAACTGCGTCACATACAAACAGCCATAAAAGAAATCCGTCTCAGGGGACCACAGTCCGTCTGGAAATCTATTTTCTTGTTTCATTAAATTATCAATAATTCCGTTTGTTCGGACATTTCTGCTCATCGACAGGTGACGAGGAATATTTTGAATGAAGGTAAAATTGTGCAGATATAACTTTTTGTTAGGTCGCTTTATATAAAACACACTTATTTGCGCATTGAGAACAAAAATCTTACACTCTTTTTTTTTTTCATTTTCCGTTTTACTCACCAAAAACTCAGACTCTCTACGGGACATTCTAAAAAAAGGGACTCGTCCAGATGATATTTTGCTGCAGCGCTTCCTGTTTGTCCAGACTAAACTGCAGCTTCCTAAGCGCACGGATTCCCAGCGGTAATGACCCACTTCTGCGCCAGAATGAACTAAAATCATGACAAACTTTTTTTTTTTAGCACCAATTCATGCACCGACAAACACAACTTGATTTACGCACCTTGGATGTAGACAGCCATCTTTTTGCTTTTTACGCATTTTTTACGCACGGAAAAGCGGCGTTAAAAGCCGCACTTTAACTGGACGCGACATATGTCCTCCGGCCACATGAAAATGCAAACTTTCCCTTTGGGGTTCAGTGCAAATCCGGACACTGCGAGCGAGATAGTGTGCGTGTCAAGCGGCATGTACACACCAAAGTACCAAAAAGTACCGGCGGCCACCTCGCCGAGAGGGAAAAGCCAGAGGAAGGGAAGAAAAGGAAACCCGCAACACCAGTACAAGAAAACTAGCAAACGAGACATTTGATCAGGTGTCACGGTCCTGAATGTCTCTTCAGCAGCATAACATAAGGATGTAGGCTGTAGTGTCTGTGTATCCGTGGGCGATAACAGAAAGGTCTACTCTCACCAGAAAAAAACTGACATTTCAGATTACACGATAAGGTTTCACTTTACTAGATATTAAAGTATTCGAGCAGCTGTCACATGGACGGCGTGTGCCTCTTGGATCGTGCTTTCTATAGTTTGTTTCTTCAAGCCCAGTGGTGCACATGCGCCCCCTGCATATAACTCTGGTTATTGCCTTTTTTTAAGTGACATTATTAGTTAATAGCAGAAAAGCTAAAGGTGAACTAGTCTGAATGTGTCTTTATAATATCACGTGAATTCATTGCCTGACATGGGGTGGTAAATCAAGTTCACCTCGATCATAACTAGAGCAGTGTCTCATCTATGAACAAACACCAGCTCCTCTTATAGAAGAAAAAACATCATATGGTCGCACAAGTCTTGGCAGTATTTAAAAACAGTGCTATTAATGCATGCCCAACACTGCACACGCTCTATTCAGCAAATGAAACGCTGTTGATCCCCTGCATCCCCGGAGACAAAGCCACATACACTGCACACTTGTCATCCAGACCCATTACAGCGTTTATCCCGTGCACGCTCAACTGATGGTGTAATAAAAGGAACTGAAGCCGGTGCGTTGCGCTGCCAAACATACCGGCTAGCTAAAGTCAACAAACATACACCCTAAAAACCTCTCAATATAATAAAAGAAACATCCACAAAGTAGGGAAAATGCCACTTTAAACTCTGACTGGAGTATTACAGGAATTCTTAATGAGAATAAAGTGCCATAATGTCAGCTCAGTTCGGTTTAAGTCACCTTTTGCGCATGGCAAACACTCTTCAGAAAGATTACAGTGATATTTCATAATATAGGAAATAATTACTATGTAAGAGAAAAGCTATTATTATTCTCCTGCATTATAAAACACTGACATGAAACAGTGACTGGTGACATGCCGGTGGGCAGAGGGAAGCTGGATTTTTGTAAAGTAATTGTTTAAAAAACACAAAATACACACCTGTGCTCCCTCTATCCCAACTCACCTGGACAGACTCATGTCAGTGGCGGGACATCACCGCAGGCTCAAAAAAAAAAAAAAAAAAGAAACACGGTGATAAGTTTATTGTAAGTATGTCTAAACAATATCAGTGCTCCAAGTCCAAATAGGATCCACAGGTCCAAAGTAAGAAAAACATCAATTTAAGTCAAAAAAAAAAAAAAAGTAAATTAAATCCCTGAGTTTTTGCTGAAGTTTCCCCGGGAGGAGAGGGTGAATAATCCGCCTAGTCCGAGTGGAAACTGCGCAGAGGAGGTAAACAAACTCCAGAAACTGCGCTGAGGTTTCCTTCTTCTCTTCCTCTGTCTCTCTCAACACTACATAATGTACTGTACTCTATGCGCATAGACTGATAGAGGCTCTACTCTAAACCCCACCTCCAAATGGGTGGGGGTTTCACTCGTTTTTCTGTTTTCTCTGTCTCCCCCTGTCACATGAAAGGTGCAAGTGTCTCTAAATGTGACTGTCTACTGCTGTTTCTCTGTGTCTCTGGCTGTGTTTCATACTACTTACTAATTCTAACCAGATCTGGATCTTATTATTAATTCTCTATTATCAGGATGAAGTTTAATCCTGGACCTGATTTGTTGGTGTTCCTAACCTAATTTGTTTTCAAAACTAAAATACTTAAATACAGATTGCCAGTGTTTCCCCTTCTGCACAATCCGAGAAAGCTGAATGTGTATTTGATATTGAGACATTCACAGTTTGGATGAAACTGACGCCTACACTTGTACTATGACTGCTGGCTTGACAGTAGAACCCAGCATGAGATCCTATTGCAGTTATGAATCATCCTAAGAGCTTTGCTAATGTCGTATTTATGTTTCTGAAGACAGACTCACATGTGTTTCTGAAGAACAGAGGAAATTCAGTGAACAATATTCTTCCACTAAGGATATTTGATTATGCTCTGGTTCAATGCAGTGCTTTGTACAACTATACTATAATATATTGTTTATTTTTGTACTGTAAGTCCACATTTCTGATTGGCTGCCAAGTGTCCATTAAAATCATATGACAGGGCACTTCAAGCATAGTTCTGGTTAAAAGTTTAACTTTAATTTAGACTACTGGACACAAAAGGCCACTGATGCACACACAAATGTCCTTTCAGAAATTGTGCATTTGGTTTATGCGAGCAAACAGAACAAAGAAATAACGTCTCTTTCTGCATCTCTTGCAGCCAAATTCTTACAAAACAAAGAAACTAACAACTAGTACATCTCTTACAACTAAATTAGCTGAGCACTGACTGCTCACACATGAGCACACATGCACAAATCCATACAGACAGACAAAAGGGCGAGACAATCAATGTCATTTACATGTGATCAATACGAATCAATTCCTGAGTGTGGGAAAATGTTTGTGAATGACTGTTAATATCTGCCTTGGTTAGCTTGTGTTTCCTATTGCTGCTTCTGTATTTATCTTTTTCTTTTGCAGTTTAGAGCTCTGTTTAATGCGATGATGATGGTGATGATGGTGATGATGATGATGATGATGATGGTGATTGTGGTGCTGATACTGAAGAAAGTGCTAAAGGGATGGCCAGGCTGACCCATAAGTAAAAGGCTAGATCTTTGTATGACTTCTGTTGGAGTGTGGTTATACTTTATTCGTTATAGCAACAGTAAGACTTTGATGAGGACTCATATAACAGCAGGATAGAGTCCACACTGCACACTGGGTCAAAGAATTACGTTGTACTTTTTTAGCCATGCAGAGAATGTGTCCTCCACTTTGGTCCAGACTGAATTATCTTATCCTGTGTAGAGATATCTATAGTGCCAAGATGATATATGATTCCCTGAGGTTAAAGGTCCAGTGTGTAACATTAAGGAGGATCAATAGGCAGAAATGGAATATAATATTCATAGGTATGAGCTATTTTTATCTACAGACGTCACTGATCGCCCTTCATGGAAGCTGCCATTTTGAGTCACCGTGTTTCTACTGTACCCCAGAAGGGACAAACCAATCACTGGCTTTATGTAGGTACATTTGCATTTTACCCACTGTACTGTCTCCCCTACATTTGGAGAGGGAGGGTGAAACGAGTGAGTTGCAATCTGCAACTACACAACTAGATGCCACTAGATCCAATACACTAGTCCTTAGAGTAGGTCTAGATTGTCCTCCTCATACTCCTTTTAATATTATTTACAGAGACTCAACAATCCCTAACTCTGAATAAGCATTTGGTGACAGATTGAGCAGAACCTGGCTGTAGATGGGAGGCTGTCTGCATTGACCGGTCGGGTTTAGAGAGTTAAACTAAGGTGGTGACCACAGTAAACATTACATTTGATAGCATTCTAGTATTGTGACTGTGAGCATGTTATCATTCGGCTCAGTACTGAAGGAGCTGCTAGCATTACATAGTCTCTTGTCTAAGTCCATTTAAATCTTTCCCGCTTTATAATGAAGTTTGTGGCTGTTGGTGCTCTCCTCTGCAAACAGGAAAATCATTGTTGGAGCCTGACACTGCTGGAACATCGAAACCGAACTGAGTTTTATGGCATCATTCAATTGCCCTGGGGGACTTTAAGGGTAATTACAAAATACTCACAACAGTAGATGCCACTAAAACGCAATAGAGCATAAAGGGCTGTAAATTTGACTGCAATACCAAACCTACAATTGTGTGCAAGCAAACAAACAAACTGACAGCCATACAGTATGTCAACTGTGTTATGATGACTAGATAAATTCAGGTGACGAATACTTCCCAGTTTGTCCATAAACTCTATCAGAGTTTCTATAGACATAGTGGCCGTCCACTCCCCAAAACATTAGTTCCTTATTGAGAAACATGAGATGTTAACAGCTACAACCACAGTAGTTGCTGGTAATAAGATTATGTGTAAAATATAGATATGTTAAATCTCTATTATCAGCATTCCTGTGCCGCCTCGGGAGAGGCTTCATCACAGCATATTGACCCAGTTGTGAAAATCAGTGAAGCGTTAAAAATGTGTGAGTCAGGCTGCTGAACACAGTGTTTACTGTGACTGAGTGTGAAACAACTTGTTCACAATGGAGGACACATTCTACATGTAATGAGAGGGTAAAACAGTAAACTGTAGTAAAAGTTCTGGTTTTGCTCCTAGGAAAACTAGTGGTTTTTACTATAACAGTAAAAGGTAGGTCAGATTGTGTAATAAATTACAAATTTGAATGCTGAAAGGATAAAAATATACACATATTGCAAACTGTATTGTTTTGGTGATTAAGACATCAGCAAGTTCCGCATCAGCCCTACATACAGTAAATGTACCCTCAGCTAATGAGTCCAAATGCTCAGTTAACTTCCCTAACTTAACACCCTCCTTTATTAAACCATGTCCACCATCCACCACTTACAGCACTTTACAGCACAGTGATCAAAACACGAAAAACCACACACACACACACACACACACACACACACACACACACAATATTAAAGACCATAAAACCATGGTGCATGCTGACCGTCAACAATGCACAGCCTTCACCTGCTTTTAAACTCAGTTTGGAAAAAAACACATTTATTTCCAGGGTTCCATGTTGAACTCTCCATCTAAACCCTGCCATACTCTGCCCTGCAGATGCTGCACCATTATCCCTCTTAATGCTGTCCTGCTCCTGTCTAGATGTTTACTAGAGCTGTATAGAGAACCTTCCCCTTTTCCTCCCCAGGAAAGGAAAGCTGATTAAAATAATCACTCATATAAACCAGTTTTAATTCCTCTTTACTGCCACCTGCATCCTAATCCATGACAACTGAGCAACCAAAACCAACGCCTGTGAGATGCTGCTGAAATCAGAAAGGAATAATATATGGACCTTGAATTAAGTTTGTTTTCTCAAATATAAATATTAGAGCTGAAATGATTAGCTGATTAATAAGTAGATCCACTATTTGGCCACTATTTTTTATAATGAATCAATTGTTTAAGTAATTTCTTTAAGCAAAAATGCCAAACAACTTCTCTAAATATTCTCTGGGTTTGGTCTTCTATTATAGATGTCTTATAGAATTATAGAATTATATAATATCATTTTGACAGCTGTTTGCTGCAATTAAAAGACTTTACTTTGGGTTGAAAATGACTCCTAATTTCCTGAATATGTATGTTTATAAAAATATATAAAAAACAAACAATGAAAACAATAATTGAAACACTGATTCACATTTAATTTCAAAAGTATGTGTGTGTGTGTGTGTGTGTGTGTGTGTGTGTGTGTGTGTGTGTGTGTGTGTGTGTGTGTGTGTGTGTGTGTGTGTGTGTGTGTGTGTGTGTGTGTGTGTGTGTGTGTGTGTGTTTAACAGATATTTACTGCTGGTCATTGAGCTAATGGAAAGTCAATCCGTTCCCATGCAGTGAACCATGACCCCTCCCCCTTCACCCCCAATAAGACAATACCGACCACCTGGACCAGTAGAGAGAGAGAGAGAGAGAGAGAGAGAGAGATGGTGTGTGTGTGTGTGTGTGTGTGTGTGTGTGTGTGTGTGTGTGTGTGTGTGTGTGTGTCCATAATAATATTGACTGGCTGTAATGTGAGAGGTCAGGACACAATAGCACTGTGACTCTGAAGACCTAACACCATGCTGTGAGAGGTCACAGCTATGTGTCACACAGAAAAGCACACACACACACACACACACACACACACACACACACACACACACACACACACACTTTGACTTCTGTATCACTTGTCCGTTTTATGTCAGCCCTTCTCTGCTCACACTGCAGCTGAGAGTATTCTCTTCACATGACTCAGTTTCTTTTTCTTGGGTTTTAATCTGCATGGACATGTACACCCATTGCTCCCATCTTTCATGGTTTTGAGATGAGTTTGTGCTGTCTTACATAAAGGCTGCAATTGATTGTAGCCAAGACATCACATGCAAGCTTGAATGGGTCACAAATTAAG